GTGCTCTATCCACTGCGCCACTTAGCTGTCCCAGGATACTCAATTCTTGATCCCATAAAGAACTGTCAGTTCTAGCTGCTCTTGTCTCTCTGTGTAATGTAGAGAAAGGACTAGTAAGTGCTGATAGTGAAACTTCCATTTAGTAACAGTTTTTCAAAAAGAAGGCAGTTCTGATTATTGGATAAAGAGCTTGCCTTAAAAGTCAGGATAACTTGGAGTAAAGTCTTGTTTCTGACACATACCTACTATATTTTGACTTCTTCCCTGTGTTCACAAAGAGACAAGGTGCAGGTACTGAAATTGAGAAAACAGACAAAGAGAAGGGTGTACGTGATCTTGTGGTCTAAATAAATGCAAAATGATGTTCCAGGTCTTGTTTGTGAATGCAATAATGCTTTGTGGTACTCTTTAGGAACTCTTACATATGCAGTACATTGTGCATTAGCTAAGACAGCACATAAATCATCTGAGAAAGAAACCTAATGTGGCTCTTAAAAAACAAAGTATTTCAGAGAATGAAACATTAAAACCTTTCTTGATAGTTATGAGTTTTACAGTCAGGAAAAAAATCTCCCCATTGACCAACCTAAGATCTCTCCTTATACCTTTTATTTCTTGGCTTTACATAAGACAAATAAAGAAACTGTTGATATCTATATCTATACATAGCCATATAGTTGATATATCTATATCTGATATATAGTTACATCAGCAGATACACACACACATTTATTTGCCTGTATATCTATATGCTGCAGTTAACTATAACTCCCCTGCTTCCTAGATTAAATAAATTCAGTTTACCCTATACTTTTAGGACTAAAATCTAAAATGCTGTATAAATGCTGATTTGTCATTATTATCATATATTACCATATAATGATATGATGTTATCATATAATTATTATTAATAATGTATTTTCTCCAATTTTTTCAGTACCTGGTATTGTAGAAGGTTTTATAAAAAGATTAATCTAGGTATGAATAATGTTCTATTTATAAGTATTTGAAAACATATCACACATGGAATTTGCTACCTAAGGCAGATAACACTGACATGGGTATAGTGTTTGTTTTATTACATGCAAAGGACTAACTTCACATATTTAAAACAAGTTTTGAATGTTTTACTATTTTTCATTAAGTTTTTAATTATACAGGTTAAAGAAGAGATTGAACTAAGTATAGAGAGGTTAAATAAATGGAAAAGATGGGTAGTAGAAGTGAGAATGATAGATGGTAACTTACAGGTTGAGGGAGAAAGTTAAGAAAACTGGGATGAGAGCTTAAATGTCCTGTTTGAGTAGCAGCCAGAAGGCCAATTTATTTGGGCTGAAGAGTGACTAAAATAAAGTAATGCAAAATAAGTCTAGAAATGTGTATTGAAGCCAATTTATGAAGGGTTTTAAATACCAAAGTAGTTTACATTTTATCCTAGAGTTCAGAGGACCAATGAGCACCCAAAATCATATAATCCTTTACTGATCTGCTTTGCTGGGCTCTATTTTTAACTAGAATTTTCCTTTTTATCCTTTTCCTCTTAGGCAGCACTTCTCAATATCGTATTAAGAGATTCATTTGCGGCTCCTGAAAAGGATATTTTTCAAGCCTTGTTGAATTGGTGTAAGCACAATCCAAAAGAGGATCATGCTGAAATCATGCAGGCAGTTCGCTTGCCCCTGATGAGTCTCACTGAGCTCTTGAATGTTGTTAGACCTTCTACATTATTGTCTCCTGATGCCATCTTGGATGCAATTAAAGTGCGCTCAGAAAGTCGGGATATGGATCTCAATTATCGGGGCATGCTCAGTGAGTACCTGTTTCTCCTAAATGTATGTGGTGGAGAACTTTTCTGAAAGCTTTGCTCATAAAACTTTTGTCACCTTTCATAAACCCTGTAGCTACTCCAGCTACAAAGCTGTAGTGTTTGTAGGCCCTGTAACTATGTGTGTATATTAGTTCTAGTATGGAACTTTACTTCTTATACCTTGTGGTGCCCTCTTCAGTCAATCAGCAAGCATTTATTAAGTTCTTGGGACATGCCAAGCACTGTGTTCAACAATGGGGTTACCAAGACAAAAATGAAACTATCGATCCCCTCAAGGAAGTTAGATTCTTTTGGAGAAAATAATATATATGTATAAATATAATATTTATAAATTATATAAATATAATAAATATAAATTCTCTCTTTATATATATCTATATATAAATACACATCACACACATGATAATTTTGGGAGGTGAGGTACCAGTAGCTGGGGAGAACAGGAAAGGCATCATGTAAGACCTAGCAGTTGAGCTGAACTTTGAAAAAAAGCTAGAGATTCTAAGAAACAGTTTGAGAAGCGAGTGTCTTTCAGGCATGGAGGATAGCTTGTGCAAAGTCCCTGGGATGAGAGCTTAAATGTCCTGTTTGAGGAGCAGCCAGAAGGCCAATTTATTTGGACTGAAGAGTGACTAAAAGGAAGTAATGCAAAATAAGGCTCGAAATGTATATTGAAGCCAATTTATGAAGGGTTTTAAATACCAAAGTAGTTTACATTTTGTCCTAGAGATAATAGGGAGCCACTGATACTTCTTGAGTAGAGAAGTGATACTGTCACATCTGTGCTATAAGAATATCACTTTGACGGCTGTGTGGAAAATAGATTGCAAAAAGTGATGAGGGCCTGCATTAAGGTGGTTGCTATGTGCCTTGAGGCAAGGGGGTTGAAGTGAGAGATTTTGTGGGGTAAAATTGACAAGATTCATCAACTGAATGGATGTTTGGGATGAGGGAGGCTAAGGAGTGGAGGATAATTGCTGTGTTGTGAATCTGAGTTTCTGGACAGTCCTTTGACGAAAATGGGGAAGTTATGGAGTAAGGTGAGTTTGGGGGGAAAAGATAATGAATGCTTATGCTTCTGGAGCATCTATTTTGAAATGTCCAATAGTTAATTCATTTGGGATTGTAGCTCAGGAGTGAGAAAGAGAGATGAATGTATAAGTCTGGGAGTCATCTACATAGAGATGATAATTGATTTCATGGGAGCTAAAGAGGTCATCAAGAGTGTAGAAAGATAAGAGGGCCTATAGGGACACCTTGAGGAACACCCATAATTAGGGGGCAGGATATGAATTATTACTCAGCAGCCTAGACTGAGAATGAGCAATCCGACAGAAGAGTGACTAAGAAAAGTCAATTTCACAAAAACCCAGAAACAGAAACTGGAAGAAGAGGATGGTCAATTTTATCTACAAAGAAGTTCAGAAGGATAAGGTTTGAATTGAGTCATACTATAAAATCTTTTCCCACTAACCATAGAGAATTGCCATTTCTGGGAGAACTGTTCACCTCTTTCCCAAAATGTCTGATCCTGCTTAAGATACTTTCTTTACATATGTACACAGTTCCAGAGGTATGTATTGTGTACTTATTATGTGTGTAATAACATGATAGATATTAAGGAGATTGAGATGTTGTAGAAGAAGTCTGAGAGGGGTTCCCTGTCTTTGAGCTTAAAGTCTCCTTAGGGAGATAAGACCCATGATAAATGGTACAGAAAGTAAAAGTTCAAATCATTGTTAAATAGTATGTGGGAAATACCATGTGAAAAATGTGGATCTTGAAGAGTAGATAGGGAAAGTTGGGTATTACAAAGTAGATAGGCCTTGAGAATTTAGATAAGCATAAAGAAGAGGGCAGGACATTCCATATGAGTATGAAAAGTTTGAGAAATAGTAGAGACAGTAATGTTTGAGGGTGGGGGAGCAGAACTATCTGATTTGTACTGGTTATTAGAAAAGATTGTAAGGGTAAGGTAGAGCAGCTGGAACACCTATGGAAAGCTAGACTAAGAGTATGGACTTTATCCTGATCAAAAACTTTGAGTGTCTCACTGTTGCCTTGTAGGATAGTGACAATTAAAAGAATGTTTTTAAGAGTATTAATATGGCTGTGTTATACAGGATATCTTGGAAGGAAGAAGAAAGATTAGGGGAATTGGGAAAATATTACAATAATCCAGGGATGAAGTAATAAGAGCCTAACCTGGATAATGGCTGCAGAAATAAAAAGCAATGGATTGATGGTAGAAATATGGAATTCTGAAGAATGGATGGAATGTAGGGGGCAGAGGAAAGGAGCCTATGTAACATGTTGCAAAATGGCATAATTAACCAAAAGGTAGTTAGGGCATGTTTTTTTTTTTCCTAGAGGGAGAGGTGATTTGGTTTGGTTTTAGACATGTTAAGTTTGAATGTTTTTTAAGGAATAAAGACTTGGAGCCAAGTAGAAGTTTCTAACAGGCAATAGGAATGTTTAACTTAAGCATCAGTGAGAGGTCAGGGCTGGAAATATAAACTTGGGAATGTTGGGTATAGAGGTAGTAGCTGAACCTATTATACTGTATAAGTTTTTCCAAGAGTCTTTAGAGAAAGAGGGAAGTGGAAGGTCAAGGGCATTGTACAACACTAACAGTAGAAAGCAAGAAGAGACAACAGAGGAGTAGGCCAAGGGGTAGAATATTCAATCATACTGTAATCATTCAGCTAACAAGCATTCATTGACATTTAACTATGTCCCAGATACTGTGTTAGGTCCTAGGAGTACAAAGACAAAATAAGCCCTGCTCTCAAGGAGCATGTATTCAATTTGGGGGGAGAGAGAATGCGAACACACACGCACACGTGCACACACACTCTCAAACCCACCCCTTGTTAGCACTGATACCTTAACTGTGTCTCAATCTGTATTTCGATACTTAAATCATGTTTCAATCAATATTTAAGCAAAAGAGCTTTAGACTAAGTGGGAGAAGGCCTTCAATTAGAATGAAGTCACACAAAAGTTGTTCCAGAGGGGAGAAGCTTGGCTGTGCCTCAGGGCTTCTCTATAGATTATCAAAGAATTGAATTCCAGAGATTGGAATGTGTTGCTTTCTGGCACATCACTAGGAAGGAACTGCCTGGTAGGGAAGGAGACCTGGTGAACGGCAGAGCCAAATGAGGCCTTCTCTCTACTTAAGTCTGTCCCTCCCTCCTCCTCCCTCATTCTTGACTAGAAGAGGAACTTTTAGCTTTGAAGACTCTTGAGGATGTGGAGCTTCACATCAGTGTCCTAAATGGCATCCCTCTGTCAGATAGTAGCAGAATCTGCATTGGGTGTCAAAGACAAACTGGTTACAAACTCACCATGTTGATGGGGAACTTCTTGAGCATCCCCTTAATGAAAGAAAATGTCTTGAAGCACCTAAGAGTTTTGAGTGACACCCTTTGGCACATGTGTTCTGTGAACTTTAACCCATTTTATCTTAGACTCTTTCTTGGACTCTTTATATTTGTGGGAGAGTGTCACAAATGTTTGCGTGGATGTACCAACTGTATCACTTAGTAAATATCCCGTTCTGAAAACTAAGTTTGACTCTCAACTGACAATCTTGGGGAGGAATCACAGGAGGATGGTTTGGGAGTAGTGTCAAGCTGGGGGCGTTAGAGAAAGTCACCTAAATCTCAAAGGAGATGTGACCACCTTTGTTTTGGGTACAAGGGTCCTTGGTGCTACATGGGTAAGAGTGGGCTGGGGATATCCCTGTAATATTGGTTGAGAGAATGGCCTCCTTTGCTTGTGACAGTGCCTTTTTTTCCTTTTTTTTTCTTTTTTTGGTGCCATTTCTAGGATTAGAGGGAGGTCCAAGGCCCAAGAGAGGCTCAGTAACTCACACAGAGCAGAGTATGTATGCTTCAGGGCCTGAACCTTGGTGTTTCTGACTCCAGGTCAGCTCTATCCACTGCACTGGGCCGCCTCTCAGGATCCAGCTCTAGATCATGGGGCTTACCATTCAACTCAGATTGCTAGTGTTTAAATTCAAGACCCTCTCTTCATATTTCACTGAACTCCTTTTGGGGGAGGGGTGGTGAGGAGGGGGTGTCTCATCATTTCCAGCCTTTTCTGAAACTCATACCTTCTCCCACTTCCTTTTTTTTTTTTTTCTCCCTAATCAGTTCTTTCCAACAAATCTTTCTTATCAGCTATTTTTTAAATTCTCAGTTTTGGGAAATTAAAATTAAATTAAATTAAAATTTCAGTTTTGGGAAACTTTTTTTAAAATAAAAACCTTTATATATATCTTGTTGGATTGGGGGGAGTGAGTTGGTTACAATTGTTTATTCTAATATTTCTCCCTATAAAATGATAATTTAGGTAGTACCCATCTTCCAGCTTTGTAACCTTGAATTATTCTCGACTCCTCACTCTCCCTCATCCCAGTTCAGTCAGTCAACAAATTTCCCTGTTTCTCCTCCATAACATTTCTCATACCCTGCCCCTCTTCTCTCTTCACTTAGTCACCATCTTCATTCAACACTTCTCTCCAGAATCCATCTGTGTGGTGTTGTATTTGTATTTATTTTAAACATTTCCCACTTATCTTTTAGTCTAGTTCAGGAGTTAGAAGAGTTATCTCCTTAAACATCTTGGCCAAAGGTCACACACAGTGAGTCAGTGGCAGAGATCAAACTAGAACCAGGCCCTCCTGACTCCCAAACACACCGCTTTTCCTAGATCATTGCTGTCTTATTGCCTGGAAACTGTTCTCACAAAGTTACCAAAACTTAATTGCCAAATTCATTATTTATTCTCAATCCTACTCCCTCGTGACCTCTCTGCAGAGCCTAACACTGTCAGTCATCCTCTGCTCCTTGTCACACTCTTCTCTCTATGTTTCAGTGACACTGCTCTCCCTTGGTTCTCCTTCCATCAACTGTTCCTTCTCTGATGTTGCTGGTTCTTCATCTGCATGAACCATGGGTATCCCTCAGCTTTCTGT